CACAAAACAAATTATAATGTATAGTAGGTACATATTATAATAAAAAAAATGGTTTATGTTCTTAAATTTTTAATACTTTAGTTACGACCTACATTGTTTTGCCTTTGAAGTATTCATACTTATACAAAAATTCATACGCCGTTTCCACTACACTGATCAGTATAGATTGAATTATGAACTTGCAATGATTTATAAGACTTAGAATTACGTTAATATTTAATAATTGGCATATATATTATAAATTACATGCTTAATCAGCATTTTTGTAATTTTCTTTAAAAAATAATATCACGCAATTGATTTTTATCCAAACTTATCTATATTTCTTATTAAAAATTGTAACAATATCTGCTAAACAAAAATTAACACCTATGAAATATGTATAATCAATTGGTAATGTATGTATGTATATATTTGCAAATTTACAACTTATTGCATAATTTTTTTATAATACTAAATAATTTATTGAAATAAATGAAAAAAAAAATAGTACCATATACTATAAAAGTTAACATTTATTAGATAAATAGGTACTAATGATATTAGCTAAAAATTTGACAGTTATATTTAGTTATAGTTATAACATAAATCAACTATACTATAAAAGTAATTTAATTTTTTTTTGGATACTTAATTTATAATTGTTATTACAATAATCATAAATTAGGTTATAATTTCAAGATAAAATGTTAGGGTCATTACTGAATTAGAAATATCAGGCTTTAGGTGTACTATATTTTGATAACATTAAAGTAAATAATTAAATTAATAGAATTAATTATACCTACATACTCCCAGACATTCAAAGACATAACATGTTTTCGAGTATGTGGGTGTAATTAATTTTTCAAAATAACTCAGCATTTCAGTAAAGAAATTCTGTGAAGAGTAATCGGTTTTTAATTGTAGTATGCCAGATCTCTTAAAACGTGCTCAGACACAAGTTAATGACGAGCACTGGTTAAAAAATGAAAAGAAAGCTAAGATCATTACGTTTGTGTCACAGTCACGATAGGAACAACAATTACCCTTATTTAAACAATATTGATAATGATCCATGTTATTTAATCATTACTAATATTAAGAACGTAAAAGTGAGTTTGTTTGTTATCTCTTGGCCTTAATTGTTCAATCAATCATGTAATTTAACATATACCTACATAGTATTTGCGATAGTGAAGGACATAGGCTACATCGCATGTACATTTTGTAAAAGGAAAATTATGCAAAGATTAGGGTAGAATGTTAATCAATTCTAAAAGATAAATCAATTCGAAAAGGATAGTTAATAATGAAGTTTCTAAGCCCTATTGAAGGTCGACCTTCACACAGTTCTCCTTAGAAACCATAGTGGTCTTGTAGTATCAGTCTCAATGGGTCAACTGACCTGCTTTTATCCTCACCTATTATCTCCAATAGTTTCTCACCAGCGATACCGAGGATGCAGCTGGGGTCAAAATTTCATTAAATTCACAAAAAAAAAACTATCCGTGATGTCAATGTGCTGTTCAGGTTTGTAGGCGACGGCTACCACTTTCAACCAGCTTGTTTGCCATTCAAATATCATAAAGAAAAGAATTATTTTATACAAAACATAAAAATCTAACTTTCTAAGTTTCTTCAATAGATGCACTGGTCTAGAAGGGACAGTGAAACCGATTAAGCAGTAACGGGGTCGATATCGTGCAATTGTAAGCGCATCTATAATAGCCATCCGCTCTGATTGACAACTGCCGTGAAGTATTGATGGCGGAACACTTTCCGACCGCGACCAATGTCCGAATTAATAATCAAATCAACGCTAGGAGAGATGTGAAACAAAACGTTTTCCAACACTGCTATATACAATCTATCAAGCTGTTTGATGTCGTCAGTGGACAATTAGATGCGGAAGAGCTACATTCATGTACCGTCTCTAATGATCTCCATTGCAATTGTGTTGAGTAAATTGACAATATGTCATGTACTAGGATCCTAAATAAATTGATGAAAGTAAACAGTTGTTTACTTGCTATTTTGTCAGTAATTGATGCGATTTGGTCCATGTACGTTTCCGGGTGTAGGTATTTAGGAATTTCAATTAAACGAAGTCGCGCTGTTAGAAGTATTGTCAGTTGCATGGAATTTAAATTCTACACGCACTATCTATCTATGTTACACAGATTACTTTTTGTTATTAATTAGTACCGAGTTTATAAGTAGTTTAATCGTCTGATGATGTTACGTCTCATTATTTAACTTAGTCCGGAATATCTGTCTGATAAAGACATTACCTTTGGCGTGACGAAGGGGTGGGAATTTTGGTAATGGTACGCATACCCAGAAATGAGCTTCGATAATGAGACCAGATTTGGATCAAATGGAAGGACAAGGAGAAAGATAGCGGTTGCAAAAATGTAAGACTAGAATGCCAAAAATATATATAGACGATGCCTTGAATAGTAGGAGAGATCCAAAAGTTTATAATGATGGTATATAAAAACCAAGTTTCACCTGATTCATTTAGTTACAAAATGTTCTAGTAGATGTTATGATAAACATTATTATGTATTATCACTATAACGATTAATTAACATCGAAATATTAGTTAAAACCTACTGTGGTGATTGTACATGTTTCAACCTTATCTATATATAGTGTAGGTAATCATAGTTTTATGCAAGCTTTTTTTTATAGTAAACTATTATAGCTTTTACCCGCGGTTTTGCTTGTTTATGTTTTTTTTACAACAGAAAGGGTAAACGAGCAATCGGCTCACCTGATGGTAAGTGACTACTGCCGCCTATGACCCCTTGAAAAACGCACGGTGGAGGACCGCCACTCGTCCAGTTGGTTGGGATGAAATTTTAGTTTATAGCGGGTTGTACAATGGTGAAAATCAGCAGCAGGTATCAATCCGAACAATTTCTCAGAGCACTCCGTATGATAAATTCGGTAGAAGATGCACAGAGATGCAACATCTCTGCGCAGTTTCAGTGGTTTGAGCCGGCCAGTATATCGATTTTATTCAACAATTGTAGTTGTTGGTATAGGTAGAGACAAAATAGTTACAAACAGAAACAAAATATGTATACTTTATGAATTATAAACAATAATTTTGCAAAATTAGAAGCAAATCGGACGGCGTAATAAAAACTTTTATACAAAAATTATTTCCCCATCACCCGACATTCTATAAATTTTTCGCAAAAAAGTAGTTTATACCGTTTCCAGTATCACATCTATCTCTATACCAAAATTTATCATAATGGATTCAGCGGCTTAGACGTGAAAGCTTATTAAACAAATAATTTCACTCTTGCATTTATAATATTAGTAAGAATAAAGATCCTTGTGTACATACAACGTCACTATTGTTAATAATAATTACGACCAGTTCACAAAGTATATCCGGGTGAAATATGACAATTAATCGAGCAAAACCGTGGGCGTGAAAATAATGTGAAAATCGAACAACAATCGCATAAAACACAAGCTCCCACATAGTAACGTGCGTGTTGTGACCGTAAAAACGAGATGAGCACTCGATTGTATCGGTTCGATCGAGTTTAGTGATCCGTACTCGGTACACGAACACGTCTCTGTGCAGGATGTTATTGCTAACATTTTTGTAAACTGTTACATTGTGTGCTTGTTTAAGAGCATAATGCATGCCTGTATTCATAATACGGATCATGTGAGTAGGTATTTAAACTTGTAAGGTTTTGTACCAATGAAATCATCGACAACCTTTCTAATAATAGAAATTATGATGGATAAATCTATTTTAAAGTAAAATATAGAAGATAAAAATATATCTAAAATTATGAAAATAGTATGTTTTACAGACTTTTCACAATCGAATTAGTATTAGGTAATTATTAAAAATAAGTGATATCATTCGTTTCTCGTTATAAAATAAGGAAATGTCTAAGTTATTTATTCTCCGCGTTGTAGTAAGGTAGGATATTTTTTATAGTTTTTACTGTAAGAGATCTGTATTTATTAAATGAGAATATTAAAATGGAATTCAATTAATTAATCACATTTGATGCTTTCTTATGATCAAATCTTACATTTTAAAAATGTTTCTTTGGATTTGATGATGATGGTCTGTCACTTCCACCATTTCACGTGTTATAGAATGCGCCGTACATAAACTACAATACATTGCGTTTCAATTATAGATTTGTTACAGTTCATTGCGGCAATAAATACTGAATCTCGTTTTGAATTAGTCAACGAACAACGCTATGAATGTCGCAGGGTGAAAGGTATCTATTAAAAACATTATAATATCGTGTTTGAAATGCATACTACGATTTAAGTATTATTTGGATAAATTTAAATATGTATAAGAGAGTCTTTAGCGAAAGCCTATTAGTAATGAAATGAAAAAGGAAATTGACGATAAATATAAAACGCTACAACATAGGCATATGATAATTTATTAATATAATAAATTATGAATGTTATAGCATAGCCAATGTGCCGCTTGTATGGACTGGATGCACTCCGATGCAACTCCAATAACGGCAATTATCTCTATACGCAATAAATACCTACGTACTGTGTGCTTGATGATCATAGTGCAAGTTACATAGCTTACTGTCTAATTGAACAAGTCAAGGTCGACAATTAGATCACTGCCTATGTAGATTACATTATGTTATGCGATATTTTTGAGTTTCAACTTAATATTATGAAAATATTTGATTATTGTTAGACAAGGCTAACTTGTTTACACATAAAACCCTTATATGTTAATGAATTACCCCTCATTTTATGACTTCATCATCTAGGTAGGTAGGTACCCACTTATTAGACTTACATTATTACTGTAAGATCAACATATATTATTATTATATACATTTAACTACTTAATAATTAAAAACAGAAATTGTATGTTTCAATTATCATTTATTATCAACTTACTTAACCTATACTTAGACTGCATCAAGTTTAGATTCAAGATCAAAATAATTTACAATCTCTTTACGAATATAATATTGATAACTTACCCACTAATACTGGACGTCGGATTAACTGTATCCAATACTTTATTTACTATTTGCCTATCTAACAAATTAGTATGTGCGAAAAATTTCAAATCACATGCACTTTTTCGAGTTAAGTTACCGGCATTTTCGCGTCAACACAGCGCGGAACGAGCGCGCCTCGTCGTGAACAAGACACATGTGAAATCAGCTGTGGCTATGAGCTGCGCAGCTAACGGGACAAGCCCCCCACCTTCCACATCCAGACCTGCCGCATTCGGAGCAAGATAAGATAACCAAAATCCACACCTTGTTTATTTACGGATAAACTAATGATTATGAATCAGTTGCGTCAACATGAGAAAAAATCTCGATTAAAAATATAATCACTATTCGACGCGTGATCGCCATATAAACGATTAGAATGGTGTTTGTAACATGAATCGATGTGGAGTGCGTGACTCCGTTGCGAAACTGCATTACATTTCGGTAGATACGAAAAAAAGAAAGGTTCGTTCACGTCGATAACATATCTATAAGGTGGTAAACGAAAATAATCGGAAACACGCAATCTATCGATAGGGAGGTAGGTTCTCTAAAGGTAGATAATACTTATTTTTTGAAACATACACATATATTATAGAAAAAATTTATTGTGTAAATAGTAAAATAATTACAGTTTATGAAGCTCATACATAACTAATACAACACATACCTCTAATGCTGTTCTGTAATGCAGAAATATGCGTTTATAATATAATATGTTTGCAACACATAAGCTTTTTAGCCTAATTGCTAACCTGAAAAGTGGTAATTGTTACTCAGACTCCGATGTTGGGCAAGTCGGCCAAATGCTGATATCCCCAAAAATAAAGGCTCCCAAAATTGAATAAAATATTTACCCAAAATAATTGATTGTATTTCAAGTTAATTTATAAATTTAAAAATCAGATTTGGATATATTTAAAAAAATAATTTAATCAATTATCAAATCAATATATATTGCTTTGACGTAGTTAGATAGACATAATATAATAAATACTATATTTATCTATATAACTATTAGTTATACAAATGTGACGTACATGATTGTACCTATTTTACACATTTCTGCTCCATCTTATGTTGATATGTGTTGTTATTAAGGAGTTAATATTAAAATAAACACATCGTCATATATCAATTAATTTTTTTTCAAACATGCTATTGATTGAAACGAGTTGCATTGTCACAATTTTTTTAAATACCGTCAGTGTTTTCTGGACGACTCAACCTGTTTGGTTTGATTAACTGGAATCGTAATTTTGTGTTCTAGACGGTGAGGCAGATTGTACTAAAATTAACTACATATTTTGTGTCAACGCTGTCGGGTAAAATATAAGGTTTTTTCAAATTTAATTTCCATTAATATTTTTTTCTCTGGGTTTATTTTCTATTTTCAATCTAACTAAAAGTATATGATATAACGTTTTTATAATACAAAAAATATTTTATGATATTTATTTTATTTAGAAATAATCTAGAGTCCAATGGTAGTCTAGAGTGACCTTACACTCTTTTCTATTTTAAATCATAAACAACAATGATATTAGTGCAAATTGTAGAACGCTTATAGTAAAAAATAAATAAAACAGTAAATAACACAAACTAATTGCTCTAAAGAACATAGAAGAATGTAAACGACGGTCGAATTATTCAAAAGTTAGCAGATTATTTTCTAAATAAGCGATCCAAAAGATTTTCGCCACTCATTATTCTGTGGTCATTGCTTGCAAACGAAAGTCACGAATTACTTTCATATAAATACTTAAAAAGACAGTCGTGTCGTGATTCAAATGACACCGAATATTTGGCAAACACGCAGCTTCATGCTCTAATTAGTATCGTGATCCTCTTGGCTCTTTGATGTGCCGTTTGAAAAACATAATCCTTATAAATTAATATTATAAATGTGAATGTAAGGTTGCCAACCACCTGGCGCCTTAGCTGTTAAATCAGTTGACGTGAATTTTAGTATAGGTAGATGCATGCACTCTTTAAAATTCTCTATTTAGGATTATAGGATGTAAACTACGGTTTTATCCCATCAATCAATATGTCCCAGTCACGTGGACCAAGACGCGAATAAACACTAGTAAGTAGATATATCTACCTTGTTATAGATAGATACTTCTATTCTTCTTATTTTCTCGTTTCTTCCAAAAAATTATGCTCTGATACTAATTAATAGATATAGTTTGATGGACGTGACTTTTATCCCCATGGACAGTAATAATATTAATTATACAGCATTAAATCAAAATATTAGTATGGACTCTAAAATTGAACTCTGAATGGCCATTTTGTTGAGTTAAATTATATTATAATTAGTAAGAACTATATCGTATTGTTCCTCTACTTCTAATGTTAGCTCAATCTTTTCTTGATTATAGTCTTGATTTGTAAGATGCAAGCGTATAAATAAAGAAAATTACTAAAAAAACAATATATTTTACAAAAGTATCCATTTATCCAAAAGTTTTCCTTTCCATTAGTTGTGAGTTCCATTCCTGTACAATATAAACATTTTTGTTTATGAACATGTCTATTTGTATTGATTTGGGTGTTTTGAACGTGGTAAAGAGTGTGAAAAGATGATGAGTTACATACATTAGCTTACACTAAGTCATTAAAATTTTATAATTAGACTACCCTAGGTAAGAATAACATTAATGTAATCTAATTTGAAAATAATACATTCTATATCTCTTTATATTTTTTGCACTGTTCATAGAATTTTCATAGTTACATTTTTTATAAGTGCTGGCCCTTATTTACCATGGGTGATGAAGTCAATTATTTAATAATTTGTGATATGATATTGTATATTTTATTAACTGATCTATAATTGGATAATATGTGTAGTTTTTATCATATGAGCTATTAACTTGTTATTAACAGTATAAATGGTCACGTACAGTACCATTTCAAAGGAATTTTCTCCTGCGAAAAATAAATGCTGTGAATGAACTCCCTGCCGAGGTTTTACCTAGAGACCACAGTATGGGGTGTTTTCAAAAAGGGTTTAAGGTTTCTTCACGGTCGGCAAATCGCAAGTGACATCCCTAGTATTGCAGATGTCAAAAAGCTATAGTAACCGTTTACCACCAGACAGGCTGTATGCTTATTTGTCACTTTCGTGGTGTAAAAAATAGTCATAATTTCAAAATAATATTGGTCTTACGTTCAATATTAATACAGACCATGTAAAATTCCATTACATCTGGTCAATCACCTTGATCTTTCTTGAAACTGCGAACAGATATACCATTTGACCTCTAGGGCTAGCGTTCACGTAACACTACAGAGTGTGTGCAATTTAACTAATGAGTAGAAAGGTAAAATAAAAGGTATATACGCAAAAGATAAGTATAGACTACGCATTAAATAACAATATTTAATCCTTAATACATTATAAATGTGAAAGTTACTTTGTTTTATTTTTTTAATGGAATGGTAACCTCTCCTGTACTATCGGTATACGCTGGCGGAGCACCAGTGAGGAATGTTAGGTGAGGATGAAAATAGATCGATTAGCCCATCGTGACAAATTCCACAAGAATTAATCAAGATGGTCTCTAGAGAGAACCGCGTGGAGGTTAACCTTATAGGATTGATTGCTAGCAATGAGGGTATTAGATCACAATTATTAACAATTCCTTTCCCTTTTAGTAAATTTGTTTGTTGCGTACCTTTTGGCGCTTTAACAGTTAAACTAATCATTATAAAATTTATATATAAATATCTATGTAGTATTTAGGATGGAGAAGGGCATAGGCTAATTTATAAATAAATAATTAATACAATTATTGTAATTATGTCGAAACTTTAAAAAGTTATACATAGCATATTGAAATATAGATAAAGAACAGTACCTGCTGTCCCAAAACAAATTATGAATTTGTTTTAAGAATTTAAAAAACAATATACACCTAAGTAAAAAACAGTAAGTTTCATAGAAAATTTAAAAAATATACAAGTTATAATAAAAAATATAATAATAAGAAAATTATATCCAAGATTGTAACTCTAAATATGGCAAAGGCATTAGACTACTATGGACTATATAAAAAAAACTTAGTACTAAACACAGATACAAGAACGCAGTGTGTCTGAGTTTAAAGTCGAGGTCAACGTATAAATTCAGATCACTTTATTATTACAATAGAGGGTCAAAGTGAATAGCACATGGCACAGATGGCTACCTAATTGTTAAACTCGGATTTGCTTTGGAGACATTAAAACTTCCAAATCAAATGAATTGTTAAAATTCTGTCGCCATATAAAAAAAAATATTTATTTTTCTTTCCACCAAGTCTGTAGTGATAATGTATATTCTGATGATTATAATGATATTGTGGTTAGTCTAACGATAGTCTAGTTATATGCGATTAATATGATGAATGATGATGGCAATCATTCAATTTCGTTAAATAGATTTTTCCCGGAGTTAATATATAGTATCATATTAAATTGATCGTTATAAATCAAGTTAACTATTATACACTATCTAAATTATAATAACTTCAGCCTTACTAACTAATCAGTGATTTAGATTTCTACCGGGTAATTGGTAGTATTGAATTTATTATAAGATAAACTTTTAGATCAATTAATTTCTTAATCTGAATTTTGACATTTAAGGGACCATGGAAAACACTGGAGGTATTTTACTTCTTTATTTTATAATGCAGAATTTGTAGACATTTTCGTTTATTGCAATATTAATAACTAGATCGATTTATGTGTATTTGGAATCATCCAGGACCTTTAATCGTAGCCACGACACTTAGATTTTATTAGAAGTCTGATCAAATAAATTTGAAATAGAAAAATGTTTAGGTAATTGAAAATTTTATTAAAAAGTACAATGAAAGTACTATAAAAATATTTCTACTCGATAATTGCAACTCCGTAACTAGGATACTATTAAGCACAAATAAATACATTTACTTGTTTAGTTGATATTCTCGGTCGACTCACTCACAAACGAGTTTAGCTATTTGCGTGCTCCGTGCGTGTTATGTTAGATATATCCAAAATTGTTGGAACTTTCACCAAAACTTTTATAGTTTTATAATCGAATGCAGGGGACATGGCGCGAAGATAGTTAAATAAATGCATCTCCATATTGATTTTAATGTTAACTACTAATTTTATGTTTCTTCGACTATCCAAGAGAAAGGTAACTATTAAGAAAATTCTCAGTTGGTTTTTTATTACCCATCATACGATGACTCAATATCTTATTCAGATACTGTTTGTTCAAAGGGGAAAGTTATAGTTAATAAAGGAGAACTAATAGCTCCATTGCTATCAGGTCGACCTCTACCCTGTTCCCTCTGGAAACCATCTTGATTAATTCTTGTGGAATTCGTTAGGATGTGCTAACTGACCTGTTTTTTATTTTTT